AATTACTATTATTACAGTCTGAACGGCCCGTCAACACATAAAACGTCATTAGGGACATCAACCGGTGACACGCCCAAAACTTATATAAACAAATATGAGCAAAATGTAATATATGTATATATTTGTAATACGGTTTTTTTTTGTTTTACATTTTTATTTATTTATTGATTTTCAATAATTCTGTTATTTTTTAATGCATATATTTAAGAGTTACTTAATATCCGCTTTCGTTACTAGAATTACATTTAAAAAAATGAAAAAAAGAAAACAATAAAGTCGGCGATTGGGATTGAATGTGCGAGCCCATGATAATACAACTAATACTTCTAATTGTAACCAAACACTAACGTAATTAACCACAGGAAAAGGGGATGATGTACCGCCTGTTTTTCAGTAGATTGTAGTTTTATAAAACACGAATAAACAAAGTAATGTCCGTATTCACTGTGACTAATCGTGAAGTTCCTGTGGCACGTGCAACAGTCAAGTGTGACCGAGTGCTCTTGACACGGGAACAGGGTCCAATTTTGTGATTATGTGATATAATCGCGATTAGTTTCTCAACCATCCCAATGAGAATGATTCTTTCTTCTTCAGTTTAAGAAAGGATGGTTAAAAAGTACATATATAACAGTGAAGATTATTTTATTTTGTTGGGTACAGAAGTCAAAATGTATTTTTTTGTTACATACAACAGTATAGATGTAACTGTATTGCTATTTTTGTAATTCTTAAAAGAATAAACTGTCAAAATCCAAGATGGCCACCAATGTTTCAGAAATATCCTTCCATAACTTCGCAAGAAATATTGTTAGCAAAGTTTCTATATGAACATAGGACTTCGTGCGACTAGTCCACCATCATCTGAAAGTGGGCTGTTCAAATCATACCTTAGGGAAAAAAAAAAAAAAAAAAAAGGAAAAAAAATCTTCGCTTGAAATCCAATTACCTTGATTAGACTCATGATAATTCTTATGCAGCGCGTTTGATGTTGAATTACTGGTCCATCTGTGGTGTAATTTATATCTTATAGAAATGGCGAGTCTATGTGTTCAGGACTTACTCATCTTCAGGGATGATTGTAATGTAAGGTAGGACACTTACACCCAGAATTGAAGAGATACTGATTTATTAAGCAAATAACAAAACAATGCAATAAAACATTCTGTCATTAAAAGTCAGCCTCCTGCCATAACACTTATGACCCTAAGCTACAAAATAAAATAAGCCGTGAGAAAAACAAAGAAACGTAAAATGGCTGCTGATTAACGTACTATGTAATGGTTATCTGAAGAATGAGTGATAAGTTACCAGTATCAGCTGTACAGGTAGCTGGTAGACTCCAGTCGCCAATGTACAGGTAGCTGGTAGACTCCCGTCGCCAATGTACAGGTAGATGGTAGACTCCCGTCGCCAATGTACAGGTAGCTGGTAGACTCCAGTCTCGTATGTACAGGTAGCTGGTAGACTCCAATTTCATATGTACAGGTAGCTGGTAGACTCCAATTTCATATGTACAGGTAGCTGGTAGACTCCAATTTCATATGTACAGGTAGCTGGTAGACTCCAATTTCATATGTACAGGTAGCTGGTAGACTCCAGTCTCGCATGTACAGGTAGCTGGTAGACTCCAGTATGTACAGGAAGCTGCCAGGTATGTACAGGTAGCTGGTAGACTCCAATTTACAGGTAGCTGGTAGACTCCAGTCGCCAATGTACAGGTAGCTGGTAGACTCCAGTCTCGTATGTACAGGTAGCTGGTAGACTCCAGTCTCGTATGTACAGGTAGCTGGTAGACTCCAGTCGCCAATGTACAGGTAGCTGGTAGACTCCAGTCGCCAATGTACAGGTAGCTGGTAGACTCCAGTCGCTAATGTACAGGTAGCTGGTAGACTCCAATGTACAGGTAGCTGGTAGACTCCAATTTTATATGTACAGGTAGCTGGTAGACTCCAATTTCATATGTACAGGTAGCTGGTAGACTCCAGTCGCCAATGTACAGGTAGCTGGTAGACTCCAGTCGCCAATGTACAGGTAGCTGGTAGACTCCAGTCTCGTATGTACAGGTAGCTGGTAGACTCCAATGTACAGGTAGCTGTAGACTCCAATTTCATATGTACAGGTAGCTGGTAGACTCCAGTCGCTAATGTACAGGTAGCTGGTAGACTCCGATCTCGTATGTACAGGAAGCTGGAAGACTCCAATCTCACATGTACAGGTGGCTGTATATGAAATGTACACATTGAACCAGTGGATGTTTTCCAGAAGTTCACCTTTCCATTACCATAGTAACAATATCATATGACTTTCAACGATAGCTAACAACTTGTATAATTTTTACACAATTTCTCATTTTTCTCGTTTTCGTTATATAATTAACAGGTATACACAGGTATATACAGATTAATTTTGGTAAAATATTGTAAAACCTCAAAGTTTTCTACAGCACACCTTGGACAGGAAAATATGATCAGATACAATGTTCAGACCTGATTTAAAATTTAATTATTGATAATGATGTAACTTTAACAACTCTATAGTCGGGTGGAAATTAACAACTCATTTCATTCTCTATTCACAGTAAAAATTCACAACTCACTTCACTATCTATTCACAGTAGATGTTCACAACTCATTTCACTCTCTATTCACAGCAGAAACTTACAACTCACTTCACTATCTATTCACAGTAAAAATTCACAACTCACTTCACTCTCTATTCACAGTAGATATTCACAACTCATTTCACTCTCTATTCACAGCAGAAACTTACAACTCACTTCACTCTCTATTCACAGTAGAAATTCACAACTCATTTCTCTTCTTATTCACACCAGGAATTCAGAATTTGCATACTTCATTGATTCACATATAGTTTTGTCGATTCAAGGTCACAGTAGAGCAGAGATGAGACACAAGACACAGTTGTATAACCATAGATATAAAACATACCAAATGTCAATGAAATATAACATACTATAGAGAAAACCTCAATATACATGGCATTTCCTTTCAGTTGCCAAATGTAATCAACCAGAACAAAAAAAACAAAAAACAAAAAAATAAAAGAGGAAAAAACAGCTTCAATCACACATGTATCAGCAAACCATCAAACACCTGTCTATACCTGTAGACACTTGTCTATACCTAACACCTGTCTACACCTGTAGACACTTGTCTATATGTAACATTTGTCTATATCTGTAGACTCCAGTCCATATTCAACACCTGTCTACACCTGTAGACACTTGTCTATACCTAACACCTGTCTACACCTGTAGACACTTGTCTGTATGTAACATTTGTCTATATCTGTAGACTCCAGTCCATATTCAACACCTGTCTACACCTGTAGACACTTGTCTATATCTAACATTTGTCTATATCTGTAGACTCCAGTCCATATTCAACACCGGTCTACACCTGTAGACACTTGTCTATATCTAACACCTGTCTTCATCTGTAGACACTTGTCTATATCTAACATCTGTCTACACCTGTAGACACTTGTCTATATCTGTAACCTCCAGTCCATATTCAACACCTGTCTACACCTGTAGACACTTGTCTATACCTAACACATGTCTACATCTGTAGACTCCAGTCCATATTCAACACCTGTCTACACCTGTAGACACTTGTCTATATCTGTAACCTCCAGTCCATATTCAACATCTGTCTATATCTGTAGACTCCAGTCCATATTCAACATCTGTCTATATCTGTAGACTCCAGTTCATATTCAACACCTGTCTACATCTGTAGAATCCAGTCTATATCTAACACATGTCTATGTCTGTAGACTCCAGTTCATATTCAACACCTGTCTACATCTGTAGACTCCAGTCCATATCTAACACATGTCTATATCTGTAGACTCCAGTCCATATCTAACACGTCTGTATCTGTAGACTCCAGTCCATATTCAACACCTGTCTACATCTGTAGACTCCAGTCCATACCTTCCACCTGTCTACACTTGTAGACACTTGTCTATATCTGTAACCTCCAGTCCATATTCAACATCTATCTACATCTGTAGACTCCAGTCCATACCTTCCACCTATCTACACCTATAGACACTTGTCTATACCTAACACCTGTCTACACCTGTAGACTCCAGTGTATATCTAACTCCTGTCTACACCTACAGGTCCTGGTCCATATCTAACACTTTATAATCTGCACCTCTATGACACAACTTCTGTTGACAGGAAACCTGACCTTTAGTTTGGACAAGGGTCATTTTGACCTGATGGTCTCCATTTGAAAACATCTGATAATTTATCATTTAGGGATGTTTTGAAGAGTCTCTTGAACTTTCAAAACTTCAATGAAATTACAATAGTGTCTTAACCGTTACGCTCTTGAATGAAAACTTACCGAAATGTTTGCCTGAAAAATTATAAAAAGGTGAAAAGATTGCTGAGAAATTTGAGTAAATATATCATCTCTTATCAAGAAGGAAATCACCACTTAACAAACTACATTTCATACTTTCCTAATTTCCCATGATCCTCTCTTCATCACATCCCATCTTATAGGTATGATACCTGATATTAACCATCTGAAACCTTTCATTAAATAGAGAGCGAAAGTGATTGTAACCCCTGAAGTATAGAGGATGTTTTTCCCCTTGCTCAATGTACAATAGAACATGAACATATTTATATATCATACCTATATAAACACATGAATAAAAAATGATAAATGACAGTTATGAAGTCTAGAGAAACAAGTCTGACTTCATGACTGATCTGATGATGAAATATATCTAGTTTGTCCATTATACACTGTAGAATTTCAAACTGTTTGCTAAAGATTATTTATCAAAAGACGATCACCTGGTTTTCTTTTAAATGGACATTCCCATTTTTCAAGCTTATAATATGTAAATTATTTCCCGTATCCAAGTCTCGGTGGATAAAAAAGTAAACAACCTCAGTAGTCCTCGTCTCCATGGATACAAAAGTAAACAACCCTGGTAGTCCTTGTCTCCATGGATACAAAAGTAAACAACCCTGGTAGTCCTTGTCTCCATGGATACAAAAGTAAATTACCTTGGTAGCCCCAAGTCTCTGTGGATATTAAAGTAAAACTACCTTGGTAGCCCAAGTCTCCATGGATACGAAAGTAATAAAGATGTACAAAAGACACATAAGTGAATAGTTATAACCGTGATATTCCAAGTCCCTGTGGATACAAAAGTAAAGTACCATGGTATACTATCCATACTGCAGCTAATTTGGCACGAATCAATCATCCTGTTTTCCTGCTCAAAATTAAAATACCTAGTGAATGTATTACTTGGTTTTCCTGGTACTTCGAACACACACATAAACCACACAATCCTTAATAAATTTAACACAGGTAGAAAATCTACTGAATGATGTAATTCTGTTCCACCTGGAATTGCAGTTGACTTAGAAGTTGTACAGCTTCTTCTTGCTCAAGCGTAATGGTAGCTGGAGCCTCTATTATGCAGGTTTCGTCTGCAGCAGCCTCTGTAGCAGCCTCCACTGCTGCCACTGTTTCCTCGTGAGCCACAGCCTCAACGGCAATCAGCTCAGAGTTCGTGACAGCCATTTCCTGTTTGTGTGTCTTGGCCATGTGAATGTCTAATCCTGTTTTATAGAGGAAGCCACGATTACAGAAAGGACAGTAAAATTTTATCTTTTCACAGTTTGCCAATTCACGTTGGTCGTTGTGTTCAACGTCTAAATGATTCCGTAATGACCAAAGCTTACCATATGTGTTTCCGCATATATTACATGCGAATCGTGTCTCCACTTTAGCGTTTTCCTGTCCTGGGTGATTCTGTGTGATGTGATCAATAAGAGTTTTCTGGAACACGAACTTTTCAGGACAGAATTTACATCGCCATGGTTTAAACTCTGGATGAATATCGACATGCCTTCTGTACAATGATCGACTACTAAATGTCTCTCCACAGTACTTACACGGGTAAAAGTTTCGCCCAGCATGGTGAACGTCAATGTGATGAGTTAACTGATATGGTTTAATATAAACCTTGTTACAATACTGGCATTGACGATTTTTCAAAGGCCTTTTGACCTTGTTTGGATTGTGCACCAATTTCAAGTGCATGGTAAGGGAGTAATTGCTGGCAAGCTCTTTACCACAGAGATGACAAACCACTTCTTTCTTCCTTGTCGTGGAATGCACAAGCTCCATGTGCCGTTTCATGCCTTCTTCCGAGGATACCATCTTGTGGCAGATTCTGCATTTGAAAGGATCAGGATTTTCATGCATTCGTAGATGATCTCGCAGACGGTGTGGTCGTTTGAACACTTTACCACAGATATGGCAAACCATCTCCTTATTCTGCTTGTGTCCCTCCATGTGTGTACGTAGACCCTGCTCTGTCACACAAGTTTTTGTACACATGGTGCACCTATAGGCTTCTATCATTGTGGTACAATGTGTGATCAAGTGCATCTCCACTTTCTTCCTCTCTTTGATGACCTTGTTACATATTGGACAGACGTAAGGCGTGTCAAGTAGTGCCTTTTTAGGAAAATGACTCTTCATGTGCAGACTCAGTTTGTCTGCAGACAACAAAACTTCATTACATATATTGCATCTGAAGTTTTCTTTGATATGGTTAACACAGTGTTGGACAAAGTCATTTCTGCTTGTGAATACTCGGCTACAGGACGTACACAGGTAGTTACTATTGTTGGTGCTAGTTTGGTGTGATTCCTCCATGTGGTATACAAGGTAGCTATAGGAAATGAAAGACATGCTACATACTGGACATCTGTAGTTCCTAATCTTGTGGGCTACTCTCATGTGTTTCATTAGTGCCGCATTAGTATTCATAGCCTTACAACACACTTCACAGTGCTTAATGTTTTCAAGCTGTTTCTTCCAAACATTAATTTCTTCAGTGGACGGGAGACTACAAACTGCTTCATCATTCCCATTCGACTCTTCCAACTTCGATTTATCATTTTCAGTCCCACAATCCTCTGCTCCTTCAGAAATTGCTCCCTCATTCTCGTTATCTGAATGCTCTTTTTTCTCTTGGTTGTATAGCAATTTTGCAGAAGTTTCCACTCCAATAGCTTTCATATGAGAAAGTGCCTGTTGTGCCAGAAGGTCGTGGAAGATACCTATATGAGTGAGGATGAGATTGGCTTTCGTGAAGCGCTCCCCACAAAGTGTACATTCCCATTTGCCAACTTGTTTTGGATGATTAATGTGGTGCATTTCCTGTATGTTCCTAGAGTTGGACGCGGCATGGCACACTTTACAAGTATATCTCGGTTCTTCTATTTTGTTAGACGCATTGATTTTTGTCTTTTTAGTAGGCAAACTGGTGCCAATACGGACTCTTTCTAGGAGCTTGGTGCGTAACGTAGACAAATCTTCTGGAGGTTTACTTACATCCTCACTAGCAAAGATTGATAGACTTCCTGGCTGGCCCTCTGCCAGAGAACAGCCATACATTATGACCTCTACCTTATACCGCGAGGTGCTCTCCAAATCTTCTTCATCTTCTTCCTTCACCTCACCGTCAATACTGATAGGAACAGACGGCTTTATTTCCTGGAAAGCAAAGGATACTTTCTGTTTCAGGGATGAGGTGTTGATCTTTTTGACCTCATGAAGACGACCTTTGGTATCAAGCAGATAAGTAATTGGGGGTCGACCATACAAATACAGAATGATCAGTTTTGGACCAGCTTCTTTCTTAATGATGATGAGAGGTATCTGTTTACTGGTAATCCCAGGGTGATCCTTAGTGACGTGGAACTCAGCTGACTTGTTGACGTAGTCTCTACCACACAAAACACAGAGTAAAGGGCGATGCAGACGGTACTGATCTTGCAACTCCTCATCCTCTTTGCCTTTTTCTGGCATTATCTGACAAATATGAAAACGAGACCACAGATCCCTCAAATCGTGCACTAACCGGAAATGAAGCAGTGCACGTTTTCGGCATGTTGTGACAAAAGTACACCGTAAACATGCCCATGGTTTAGATGAATCTCTTGGTGAATTTGGTGAAGGCTTATCGGGGTCAATTTTCTGGAACGTAGTCAAGATTTTATCAGCTACTTCCTTATTTCCAGGATGATCAAGAGAAAAGACATCAATGTGAGAAGGAACAAAATTTTTGCACTCTTCCTTGCGACCTTTTTCTTTCTTAGGTTTATCTGTTTTGGGAGTGGAATAGCCCGCAAACGATGAATATGAATGGTCCTTATCTGGACCTATGCCTTTTCTAGTTCTAAGAGCTACTCGTAATGCAGATCGTGTACCTCGATGGCATTGTGTTGATTCGAAGGCCTGTGCTTTTGAATCAGTTGTTGGTTCAAAATTTGGATCTTCATCTGCTACCTTAGATCTGCGTCTCTTTCTGCTTACTTGAACAGGTTTAGGTTTCAATTTTTCAGCATCTTCGTTTGATGTCTTTGTTGGTGAAGCCGCCTTTGCAGGTATAGCTTTCCTCCTCCTGGATTTTGATGACGAAGGAACAGCTTCTGTATAAAAAAAATAAACAATAGTATCAGTGAAACTGATGAATGCTCCAGAAAATGACTTTATTTGATACAAAATTTAATCAAAAGGCAGTAATTCTGTAATTAAGAAGTTGCAGGCCTTGAATTAAGAATACTGTACATTCTCTTAGTATGATCAATGTATATTGCAAAAGAGAGTTATGGTTCTTGTACAATGTGCTTCTTCTTATGAAAATATTCCTCTAGATAAAAAGACTTAGCAATGAATTCCTGAACAATTGTCAGAAGTACTTTTTAAAATCGTTTTTAAAATATTTAAATCCAGTAATGTTACCAACTTTAATTTTGATACCCCACGTTAAATAAATCAAACTTTTACTACACAGATCAATTCATTGTCAATATTTTTTTGACTTGACAATATAACTCTGGTAAATACTAGCTGTAATATATCACTTGGCTAGAGAGAACTTCTCTTTAGCTTGATCGGTTGAGCATCAGACTAGTCAGCCAGGGGTCCCTGATTCAAATCTTAGTGGAGGCATTGAAATAAATAATGACCTCTGTTACAATAATAATTAAGTATTGAAATGATAATCAGAACGTTTATGTTAATTACCATTGCTGTTATAAAACAACTGCTATATTAACTATTTAATTGCTAAATACTGGCTATTCAAATTACAACTCTTACTGCATGGAGTTATCTCCCTTTAACAAATAATAAGTAAGCATTTCATTGAATTCTATTATATCATTATTACATAAGTTGAGTTTGATAAAGGAGAATATACTATTTATCACTTAAAATGGATATTTACATAATTTCTTTTATATACGTTGCAAGATGATTCTTTATCACTGAATAAACATAAATAGGAAGACTTTGAGAGTTACTACATGGACCTTGATGATTGTGAACAAATTATAAAGCAAATATTGACAAAAAATATTGATATTTTGCATAAAAAAATCATAGCCTAAAATTCAGCTACTAATTAAGTATGCTTTTCCTCAAATCTTCAAAGACTTTAAAGATACTGAAAGTAATTGTATATAAATACCAACTACAGTTTAGTACGTAATAGAATTCATCTTTATTTTCTGAAAATATGTTTGATCTATCACACGGTCTTCTTGTTTGTAAACAAGAAATCTGTTTATCACAATAGCCTTTGTTACACAGTGGGTATACCCCAGTAATATGTTCTGTATCTTAACATGTGTAACATAACCTATTTTGAGGTCAGTTTTAGATAATGAGATTACGTCACACAGATAGCATTTTGATGTAACAATGAAGACTATATGAAAGAGCTGAAAGACTCCATTGAAATGTCAGAGGTGTATTTTTATATTTTCTTAAATAACTGATAATATGATAAAACGAATTCATCAAAGACATGCTAATATTGTAATCTTTTAAACATTCATTTCATAAATCATATCTCCTGTGGGATACAAATATTCCAGTAAGATCCTACCAAATTTTTTCAGGAGTATCACCCAGAGAAAAACAAACAAACCATAGAAGTGATTTATTGAGGAGTCCCGGGGTCAAGTGGATGAAGTAGAGAAGCCCTATATGTACATTGTACCCAACAAGGCCAATATAAAAAATATATTTGTTTCTTTTCGCTGACCAATTCAGAATGAGAAACAGATATATAAAATGTTGTATGAAATATACAAACTACTAAGATGAAGTATGGATCTCTTCAAAACTTGACTCAAAGAGCACATGATTTATGTTTCTTTAGATTTGTGAAGTATTTATTTGATATTATCTTGATTCCAGTTCAATTAATCGAAGGCAGCTGAGATTAGGAATAAACTTACTTCCTTATCAATGATATCCTCAAATATTAAAGGGGTTTTTCTCTCTTTCATCCTCCCCCTACTTCTCTCATCCTCCTCTCCCTTCCTCTCTCTCCCTCCTCCCTCTCCCTCCTCCCTCTTCCTCTCCCTCTTCCCCTCCTCTCTTCCTCTTCTCCCTCTTCCCTTCCTCTCTACCTCCTCCCCCTTCCTCTCCCTCTTCCCCCTTCCTCTCCCTCTTCCTCCTCCTCCTTCCTCTCCCTCTTCCCCTCCTTCTCCCTCCTTTCCCTTCTTCTCCCTCTTCCCCTCCTCCCCCTTCCTCTCCCCCTATATCTCCCTCCTCCCCCTTCCTCGCCCTCCTCCCCCTTCCTCTCACTTTCTCTCCCTCCTTCCCTATCCTCTCACTTTCTCTCCCTCCTCCCCTTCCTCTCCCTCCTCCCCCTTCCTCTCCCTCATCCCCTCCTCCCCCTTCCCTCTCTCTCTCCCTCCTCCACCTTCCTCTCCCCCGCCTCCCCCTTCCTCTCCCTCTTCCCCTCCTCTCTCCCTCCTCCCCCTTCCTCTCCTTCTTCCCCTCCTCTCTCCCGCCTCCCCCTCCCTCTCTCTCTTCCCCTCCTCTCCCTCCTCCCCCTTCCTTTCTCTCCCCCTCCTCTCGCTCCTCTCCCTTCCTCTCTCTCTTCCCCTCCTCTCTCCCTCTCTCTCTCCCTCCTTCCCTTTCCTCTCCCTCTCTTTCCCTCTTCTTTCACCCTTTTTCTCTCCCAATTTATACTTATTTTTGCAGCAAGTCTAATTCAAATCTAACATATTTCAGGAGAATCATGGTCAAAATATAAGTTGTCTAGAGGTATGGACCTATGACAAAGAACTGGACCTAACCACAGACAAGATTGTGGGCCAGAGTATAGCTTGTTACCTGTGTTTTCTTTCACTGAATCTTCCTGTTTGTTGACTTTCTTCTCTTCATCTTTATCACCACTACTGCAATTTGATAAAAATATCTCATCAATGATTAAAATTTGTGAGCTTTTACTGATCTTCAATACAATTTAAACAGAAATTTTTGAATAAGTCCAATTTCTGCCAATATGTAGTTCTCTGTGAACAAATTATTGACAGCTTACCATTTCTAAAATGTATGCAAACAATATCCATTAATTATCTCTCATTATTTACTAATTACTAAATAGATTTAAATGTAAAAAGAACATGTTTGTGTTCTCCTGTCTGAAACCAGAGAGCTAGACAGACAACAGTAGAAATTTTCACCTTTCTTTGCTCGAGTAGTTGTGGTCCATTTCAGTACGTGATCCGTTATCTGTGGTAGAGAAAACAAAATATGTGTAAGGTGGTACATCCATGATACTCCAAGGGTTACAATCACATTCATTCTCTGCACCCCTGGAACATGTCATGGCACAGGATAAGTAATCTTATTGGTTACAACAGAAAAAAAACTGACCAAACACAAGCTGATGCACTCCGTTTGAAGATTACAAAGAAGCAACATACGACTTCTGAGCCATCATATTATACTGTTTCGCAAGATTCATTCGATGTGTATCAAAGAATTGTTTAAGTAATTTCATCTTGTCCACAAGGTGTCACACATGATTTTGTCATGACAAGTTCCAGGGGTGCGGACAGAAAAAATTATCATAACCCGTTGATTATGGAGTCTGAGGCAGGTAAAATAACTGCTATGGGTGACTATTACCTAAATACTTAACAAAATACAAACAGTTCTCACTATAAAGGATGGTCATACTTGTTACTGAAGAATCAAGTATTTTCATATATCAATTTTTCATTGATAAATAGAGCTTAATAAAAACAACTTTTATTATCTTCAGGTAGTCCATCTTTTCAGATTTTATGGGATAAAACTCTATTTAATAACTGTGGGTAGATATAAATACACCACAATAAACAAACAAAACAGTCACCATATTACTTATACCACCAGAGTCACATATAGATCCATACTTAAGAACTACTGATCCAGATTCTGACGATTTTTAGGAATTTATCTAACTTACATACTGTCAAGCTGAATACTATTATTCAGAAAATATTCCAGCCCTCTTAATCAGACAATGAACAATGTAAATTTGACGTAAAATTCAGTCAGAAGTGTTAAGCAAATGTAAGTCAATTGAGCTTCACGGCTGACGTCATATTTATCTCCATACTTGTTACCCAGAAACAGATGAAAACTAATAAACCTGCGAGAAATCAATAGGTCTATACACCCCCTCCCCCAACTTATAAGTATTAAGTAGTTGTTAATAAATTAATTAAGGAAATTAGTCATCAGATCAAGAGTAATGTTGTAAAAAAAGGTCAACTTATCAATGTATTGTGATAGCATTGCTCTCGACCATAGGTCAATATCATATTTTCCAGTTGATAACTAATCACAACAATTTGTTAAAAATATTCTATTTTATGTAACAAAAATGCCACTTGAAAGCAAGGTTTTTCACAGAGTTATTGGCAAATGTCTGCGTGGCCTTCGTTTATTAATGAAAGCATCTTTGAGATCTTGATCAGGGAGAGCGTTGCATACAAGAACAGACCAATCACTTACTTAAGATGGAACAGAATTTTCAGCAAAAGTTGTTACATTGGTGAGAGATTATATCTAAAATAAATGTTGGCCATCATTGTTTCCGATCTGATCTAGCTAAATCTATGAAGTATACATAGAATAGAAGTTCTTACAACACAACCAGCAGAAGATTAGAGTGTGACGTTTCCATGACTACATGGTCACCTTTATCAGACAACACAACCAGTAGAAGATTTGAGTGTGACGTTTCCATGACTACATGGTCACCTTTATCAGACAAATGACCAGTGTGGGGAGTACTAGCACTGATGAATGTAATGTACAAGATGGTACGGAATCGACAAACATTTTGTGCTATAATCCTATAAACACTAACGCCAAAAATAGTCTGACAAGGTGGTAAAAGATTAAAGACAAAAAAAATACACAAGATGGTAACAATGTACTGTAGTCAATTCTGCTATGCTTTGTTTAACACTTGGTCATTGATGTGCGACAGTCATACTACTCACCAGAGAAACAAAACTGTGGGAACATTTTGAAAATTTCTTGATTTTTCTCCACAAATTTCGCCCCGTTTTTAGAGCAGTGAGCCACTAACTGTTGAGACTTGCGATCAGTCATCATGGCAAACCATTCTACTCTAGCTACTCGTGAACCGTCATCTTCAGACTGAAAAAGAGACAGTTAGTATGTTTGGTTGTTTACTGTGTATATCGTCCTGAGAACAGTTTAGTCTCAATATGAAGCAAAGTCTTCTTATAGTAGCTGGTGACTACTTCTCTGAACAACATACAGGAGGCCAATTGCATGCCAACCAGAGCAATTAAAGTAAAGTACACAATGATGAAAACACAGACAGTAGTCCACTAGAAAACTATCAAGCTCCTCTATATTCTAAAAGAACCTTCGCTGTACCCCTGTCAACTAGAACATTATAACAAGTTCCTCTTTATTCTTAAATTACCTTCGCTGTATCTCTGTCCAGTAGAATATTATAACAAGTTCCCCTTTATTCTTAAATTACCTTCGCTGTATCTCTGTCCAGTAGAATATTATAACAAGCTCCTCTTTATTCTAAAATTACCTTCGCTGTATCTCTGTCCAGTAGAATATTATAACAAGCTCCTCTTTATTCTAAAATTGCCTTCGCTATATCTCTGTCCGTTAGAATATTATAACAAGCTCCACGCTATTCTAAAATTACCTTTGCTGTATCTCTGTCCAGAAGAATATTATAACAAGCTCTTCTTTATTCTAAAATTACCTTCGCTGTATCTCTGTCCTAAAGGATATTATAACAAGTTCCTCTTTATTCTAAAATTACCTTTGTTGTATCTCTGTCCAGTAGAACATTATAACAAGCTCCTCTTTATTCTAAAATTACCTTTGTTGTATCTCTGCCCAGTAGAATATTATAACAAGCTCTACGCTATTCTAAAATTACCTTTGCTATATCTCTGTCAAGTAGAATATTATAACAAGCTCCTCTTTATTCTAAAATTACCTTTGCTGTATCTCTGCCCAGTAGAATATTATAACAAGCTCTACGCTATTCTAAAATCACCTTTGCTGTATCTCTGTCCAGAAGAATATTATAACAAGCTCCTCTTTATTCTAAAATTACTTTTGCTGTATCTCTGCCCAGTAGAATATGATAACAAGCTCCTCTTTATTCTAAAATTGCCTTCGCTGTATCTCTGTCCGTTAGAATATTATAACAAGCTCCACGCTATTCTAAAATTACCTTTGCTGTATCTCTGTCCAGAAGAATATTATAACAAGCTCCTCTTTATTCTAAAATTACCTTTGCTGTATCTCTGCCCAGTAGAATATTATAACAAGCTCTACGCTATTCTAAAATTACCTTTGCTATATCTCTGTCAAGTAGAATATTATAACAAGCTCCTCTTTATTCTAAAATTACCTTTGCTGTATCTCTGCCCAGTAGAATATTATAACAAGCTCTACGCTATTCTAAAATTACCTTTGCTATATCTCTGTCAAGTAGAATATTATAACAAGCTCCTCTTTATTCTAAAATTACCTTCGCTGTATCTCTGTCCAGTAGAACATGATAACAAGCTCCTCTTTATTCTTAAATTACCTTCGCTATATCTCTGTCCATTAGAATATTATAACAAGCTCCTCTTTATTCTAAAATTGCCTTCGCTGTATCTCTGTCCGTTAGAATATTATAACAAGCTCCACGCTATTCTAAAATTACCTTTGCTGTATCTCTGTCCAGAAGAATATTATAACAAGCTCCTCTTTATTCTAAAATTATCTTTGCTGTATATCTGCCCAGTAGAATATTATAACAAGCTCTACGCTATTCTAAAATTACCTTTGCTATATCTCTGTCAAGTAGAATATTATAACAAGCTCCTCTTTATTCTAAAATTACCTTTGCTGTATCTCTGCCCAGTAGAATATTATAACAAGCTCTACACTATTCTAAAATTACCTTTGCTATATCTCTGTCAAGTAGAATATTATAACAAGCTCCTCTTTATTCTAAAATTACCTTCGCTGTATCTCTGTCCAGTAGAACATTATAACAAGCTCCTCTTTATTCTCAAATTACCTTCGCTGTATCTCTGTCCAGTAGAATATTATAACAAGCTCCTCTTTATTCTAAAATTACCTTCGCTGTATCTCTGTCCAGTAGAATATTATAACAAGCTCCACGCTATTCTAAAATTACCTTTGCTATATCTCTGTCAAGTAGAATATTATGACAAGCTCCTCTTAATTCTAAAATTACCTTCGCTGTATCCCTGTCCAGTAAAACCTTATCAAGCTCTTCTTTATCCATCCCCTCCAGTTGTACTCCAGACATCAACATCTTCAGCTCTAACTCAGCTTGTAAGCTTTCCTTCTGCATCAAGGAAGCAACTTCTTGTTTTTTCACAATCTTTTCCAACACTGTGAAGCATCTGAATCATAATAATTTTGTATTAAAGAATCATTTATTATCAGGTATGATGATCCAATAGTACTTTGTTTTATCACTCAAAAATCATGGTCATAAAAAAGTTTAGAGATCATGTGTTAGATAATTATCTGCTTATTCCAAATGTGTGGTAATAAGCTCAACCATATTTATTTCAACTCTGTATGAATACCAAGAAATGCTTCATGTGAAGTTAAACAGGGCTGGGTAATTGTAAGTGACCAGGTGTTTCGCTTGGTAGAGGGTCTCTCTAGAGTTCTGAAGGACCAGGATTCCACCTCTAGCCCGGCCATGCATTTTCTTGTTGCTGTTACATTTGGTGTCTGTAACCAACCCTTGTTTCAAGCAGGAGAATGCTTGATAAGGGAATACTTGAGCCTTGGTTGTAAATATTTGTGTCTTTAGAGGAAAAAGTAGGGAGGAATGTAGCAGAACTGGATTGGGTCAATTGTTAGTGGCCAGGTATACATAGCTTAATTTAAAGAGCTTGTGTCTGAAGTTCAAAGGGTCCCAGGTTTGAACCCTGATCTGGTTATGTATTTTGCCACGTCTATTGCACATGTACTGTAAAATGCTATATTTTTGTATGACTCAATTTTTCTGGGTTTTTTATAGAAATTGCCATTTTCATTGGCACTTAATCTCATCAATAAATCTTGTTCGCGAAATCCACTTGTGCCAACAGTCCATGTCACCTTGTATTTATTCATTATTTTGTGTACATATAAATTTGTGGATCTAGAATATTCACAAAATTAATGAAAATAAATCCCTCACAAAACTTATTGACCTCATAGAACCCGATGTATTTCAATACCTAATCCCCGACTTTAAAAGTGTCCGACTTGTTATGCTGATATTTATTGAAGGTCATATTGACACAATGATAGGTGAGATTACAAAAGTGTAAACAACATTGTGAAAATGCAGAATATGAAACAATACTTACTTTTTACAAACAAAACTGTCATCAGAAACTGTAAACTTGCAGTCTGGCACCTTCTCATGTAGAATATCAGAAATGTGTGTTAAACCACTTATGCAGGTTGTAACTGGCCATTTATTCTGTCCATCAGCCAGCGAAATGGAGCACTGACAATGAACACACACCAAGGTTGAATCCTTCACATCAGATGTCTCCTCACAATCCATTGTCTGAAACCCATTAAATATATAAAATTTTTGCATTATTTTATGTATGTAAATGTTTGAAAGCTTGTGTGGCATGTTTTAACTGTACATTGAGATATGGTCATCTTGTTTTAGGCTTTTGGCTAAAGGCATTTCACTTAGCTAAATTGGTAGAGCTACGGACCATTAGCCAAGGGGTTCTGTGCGAACTCCAGCAGAGGCACACTTCTCTTTTCCTTCTCCATGCCTATATACCGGTATACACATCCAATTTCATATTCAGGTTGCAGTCTGTTTTTAATCACATATGTTCTTGAATGTTAAACATGATAAAAGCAGTAATATTTTGTGTAGTGTCTTATACATGGGTTACAACAATATAAATGTTAACTCAGAACAGCTATTTCTTTTAAAAAAATACTTTTTAAAATCAGAAAAAATGAGAAAACTGTAAAAAAAAAAAAAAAAAACGAAAACAAGAAAACCCAGAAGGATTTTAGAGCCCACTATTAAATCTTTATTCATGCTTTAAAACCTGAATAATTTACCTTCCTTTCTTTTTATTTTCTCTAAATTTTATTAATTTAAAAATTTCTCAACCGAATTATTGATATTACTTTTTAACAGTCAAGATTCAAGATGGCCATTCATCAAACACGAAATGGAACCTATAAAATTTCATATAATCCATTTAGATATTCTGAAGATATAGTATGACAATTTTGTCAAAATCCAAGATGGCCGTCCGTCAGCCATTTTGTTTTTGTTTTTTCTTTTGATCAGCTCCAAATTCAAAAGAGCACAACTACACTATGGGCCAAAGGTAATCTACGTACGAAATTTGGGAATGATCCATTAAAGACTTATTAAGAAATACATACAGAGAGGGAACAATTCCTGTCACTTTTTGAGGATCTGTCACGGTCAGATCGATTGCAGCAGCTTGATGATTTAAAAAGTCAGTTTTTTCATAAATTAAAAAAATGGAAAGGCATATTATTTTAAATACGTTATTCAAATTCACTCATCAATAGCCTTTTATTATCGTGATTTAGTTGATTGTAACAGGGACGTGTATAACAGTATTATACGTCCCTGATTGTAATGTTTACTTTTCAGAGAAGGGTATATCTAGCCTGTCACTTCCGGTTGTCCGAACACCTCCCTAAACGGCTCCGTTAAAACCCAGAAACTGATTACTTACTTCACGATAACATCATATTTTGACAACCTCATCAAAGTTCTTAAAAGAATAACTAAGTCAGTATTTTCATTGATAAAATGCAAATTCTACACTTTCATTTCGATAAATAATAAAAGCATAACCAATATTTGTAAATGTCGGCCATTTTTGCACAAACCGCGTCTGACCCACAAATGGCAGCCAGTGCTGTCTGACGCCAAACTCGAAAGGAACTGTATAAAGCGTCATGCCTTCTTTGTAATTACAGGAAAACATTACATGTCGACTTTATACAGTCTTCTTAAAGCTGTTACACAATGACAACCATGTGGAATTGGTCGAACAACTACCTGTTTCCCAGCTTTTTGACGTCCCGGTCTGAACGCGCTAAACGGCTTCCTGTTTGCAGTGACAGGGGAAATTCTCAACCTGAATAATTGTTCCGGTTAACGTTGTCACGCGAGGCTCAATTTATTGAAGAGCTTATCAAAACCGGTCACAAAGACTTTGTAAAATCGCTTGACTTCACCTTCAGATATATTGATGATGCATTGTCTCTAAAAAAGAAGAAATTTATCGACTAAGTTCATCGTATGTATTCACCAGAACTGGAATTAAAGATACGACAGACTCTCTAAATCAGCTGCTTATCACGATCTTTTCCTACAACGAAATCAGTATGAACAGCTTTCCACCAAGCTGTATGATAAACGTGACGATTTCAATTTCCCTATTGTGAATTTTCCATTTCATGATAGCAATAACTCATATTCAGCTATTTCTACGGGATACCATGGGTTACGTCCCCTTAGCGTTTATCGAGTCGTAGGTACGAGAGCCCACAGGTAGAATGGGACTAATAATGGATGTATGATTTTATCAAATTAATATTCCATGCTAAGCCGGTACAGTTTTACTCGGAGATCCGTACAGACATAATTATATAGGTATATGTAGTGGCCTTCATAGAGGTTACACATCATAACATGTCGGACTTATTTCACAAACAAAAAATAACCACTTTCATTGATTATTTAAAAAAATATCAGAGTGTCACAGTTCAGTTCAACAGTATCTGTTGAATAAAAATAACATTTAATTATATGAGTGCATATGGTCAGTTATTTCGAATGACGCCCCAGTAAACTCCAAACTGAGAACCCCTGTGGTTTACTGGACAGGTGTGAACTATAGCCATCTCCATCATGGGCTAATTTCTCGTCGTCTGACTCTGTGTCCTTTGTGATTTCAAATACTGCTTTAGTCAATATACGAAGAAATCATCTGGTTTGGTCATGGGTTTATGATAAATATACCCCTGGATTTGGTTAAAGAAATAAAACTGCGACAAGATTTGGAATTTGAAAATACATTTTAACAGAACAATCATTACTGTAGCGATTGGAATTTGAAGATTAACAACTGAAAGCCCTTGATCAAGGATCCAGATCGGAAGAGCTCTACATCTACCGTTAACTATATCTTAAAGTAACCCAATACACTAAGGAAAGAAGGACAATGATTAGAAATTGATTAACCACTGCAATTTTAAAAAGACATTTTTGCTGTATTTTGGCAATGCTTCTTTCCAATATAAAAACATAGTACCGAGCAAATCTCGTATTCTTTGAACTCGTACGCTCACTAAGATTTATAACTTACATTTATAAATAGCAGTCAATAAGTCAAATATGAGTTTATATTTTTCTTAACAAAATGATAGAAAAATGAGAGTAATACAGATGAAATGAAAATAAAATTTATTTTCGGACCGTATGAGATTTTATGTGGTCCACTGCGGTAAAAACTGTTTACATAGATAATGAATATGATCACGTGCGGCACTGTGGAAACAAAACACTTTAAATTACGAGTGTATAAAACTATTTAGTCTTTATGTTATAGATCTACACGTGTCTGACCATATACTTAGCTATACTCGTATACAATGTATATTCAGAAAATAAATAAACCTTATCCCACATTTATCTATGTCATTTAAAAAATCATATCAGCTACGATAGAATCGCACATCTGTGCTATAGAACATGTGCGATAGCTTATTTCGTCCTGTCTTGCGCAAATAGAGTAACGTTGTGCGATCCCACAACTGTCTGTTACGGAAAAGAGTTGTCTCCGACATGGAGAAATTAATAATTCACATATTATGACATTTGATGCTGAACGGATGTCTACGTGGCTAAAATCCGCTAATTTGTCGAGTATTGGAGCGATACGGGTCTGTTTAAATAAAAAAAAAACATAATAGAAGGGTTTTTTTCTGAAGTTTGACATTATAGTAGTTCATGACATTATTTACAACCTCAGGTGAGCGCAGTATCTGGGGAAAATCTAGATATCCTAAGTTCTTAATGGGAATTTCTCCTGCAGACGTTATCAACTGGAAACTTATACACATGATACTTATCACCTACATGTACCAAGAGAAGACCCAGACTTTTTACACCAGTGTGAAGCTGCTCATCGGTACGGAAATATGCTACAAACTAAACATTTTCACGAAGACAAATACCATTAGATTTCTTTTGTAAGGAAATCTGTCACTAATTGTAGATTAACGAAATTTAATTTGCTTTAAATCGTATGAAACAAAAAAAAGCCAATCATCGAAACGAAATAATTGGGCACACGTTATTGAAAAAATGTAAAGCCCTCTCCCGCATTGTCACAAACAACTGATCAGATAGCAAACTTACATATAAATAATTTAAATATATCAATATGCTACAGTCATATATTAGGTAGTAAATTTAATGATAATCCCTTATCTCACAACTGTCCTATGTTTGCTATTTCTTTCCATATATACGTCCATAAAAGAACTTTGCAGCTGAAAACATGGATCTTACCACTGTGCTACCGTTATGTTATTGACTCTGTTAATTCTTCTGTCAAAAAAGAAAATTGAGCCCTGTTCGCCTCTTAAACTTATTGTTTATGCTGGAAGTTGAACACAAGGGACAATTGCCCAGTGTTTAGGATTTGTCATAGTCGCCTAGGTGTTTAATTGATTATTTCGCTTCTGACAGTAAAGGAACTACAATACAGATTGTCTAATTAGTAATTAATACTAATTACACCTTGGCAGTAACAATGAAGTTACATCGTCTATATATATAATTAATGGAACAACAATACAAATTGTCTTATCAGTAATTGATTTTAGATATATACATTTAGGTACAATAACTACAATATATATATATGTATTTATATAACAGAAATGAAACTAGATTACATGATGGCCTTTCAGTAATTAAATAGTAATAGCTATTTTTCCAATAAAGAAGCCAACATTGTTGAGTAATTTAAAATTGAATAAGGTAAACATACTCTTCATTTTGTGTTAACTTTGGTATTTAAAGAAGTATTTCGGAATAAATTTACGCCGTATTTGATAAACGCTTGGATTATTACAATAGTTAATGAAATTCATCACCTACTTCCGCAATACATAGATTGCAAACTCGATCTTCTCGCGGAATTCCTGCCCATCTACCTGTTTCTAGTGGTAAATAAAGATTGGATGAGCGAATTTAACACATCAGATTCAGATTCTTTATTAGCCGCGAGCCTTACGACTCTTAGGCACAAAAGTAGTACATATACATAAACATATATAATACATACATGTAGGATACACTCGTACGCACGACCACATCTACCCTCACTCTCACCCACACCCACACCCACACACACACACACACATTCAGGAGAGCTGAACATATACATGTAACATATATATACAAACACGAGAGTTGGCAGTATTAGAGATTTTGGCGTTTTTTTGTAGCATAAAACAAATATTTTCCCGAAT